ATCTGAGAATTTTGAGAACTAATTTGAGAAGTTACCGGGCCCGCGGGAAGGAAGCGGGCAGGAAACGCCAAGGTGGCCGGGAGCTGGCGCGGATGGGCCGGGCCGGCGACCCAGGGCGGTGGGTGGGATGAGGTTCGGGGGGAGGGAGCTGGGACTTATTCGGGCTCCCGGGACTCCCAGAATGGCCGAAAAAAAGAGTTGCTAAAAATAGGCAGTAGCCCGCGCGAAGAAGTGGGCGACCAAAAAGGAACAAGGAACACCCTACACATACAACCCTAAGGAGACGCCCGCGGCCCCCACTCACCCACGCCAAGAGGTCTGGAGGAAGCCGCGCGGCGCAGAAGAAGGCGGTGCCGCCGCACTCGGGGGTGGGAGAGAGGGAGGGAGGAACGGAGGAAGAAAGGAAGAAAGGAAGAAGGCGGAACCGGCCGCGGCGTGAGGAGCTGAGCACACGCGCCGGAGTCGCCCCCGCCGCCGCTACCGCCCCCTCAGCTTCTCAGCTCTACCCGCCCTACACCCGCGCCGCTCGCGCGCCCAGCCGCACTGACAGCGGCGCGAGCTCCGCAGCCGGGAGTCCTTCCCTCGGCCGGTACCACTGAGGCAGGCGGAGGTGATAGCGCCCGGAGCTTCCCTCAGCTCGGCCTCGCCCGCCACTCCGGCCCTGACCCCAGGCCCTCCCTCTACCCCGCCTCCGTCTCCGAAGAAGGACACGGTAACACCAGCGCAGAGTCGTCTCCAACCCCGCCCTGACACAGACCGGTTTCCCAGGAACGCAGGCTCCCCCCGCCCCCAGCTTGGAAAGGTCCAGAGTTTGGGCGGGGAGAGGAGATAGGAGGGGCCGGGGCGGGGCCTGACTGGAAGGAGGGACTGAGATGGGACCCTGGAAAGGCGGGGCTAAGGGCGAGAATAGAGACTCGCTTACACCAGTATGGAGCCTAAGGTAGGTGGGAACCGAGAGGGTGATGTTGCCAGAGAAGAGTGCGAGAAAGGTACTGAAGACAGTACAGGCCTCGCAGAGCCGGGAGGCAGGTCAGTGCTTGAAAGGAGGGGCTGTGTTTGAGGCTAAAGGGAGGTCTGCCCAGAGGAGGAGTCGAGGATGGAGCGAGGCTTGGGCGAGGCTGGGGGAGGCGGGGCTGAAGAAAAGGCCAAAAGGGAGGAAAGATTGAAAAGAGACAGGAGGAGGAGGGCCCGGAAACCCAGAAGGCTGGAGGGGCCCAAAGGTGGCCACTCTGGGGAGGAGCCGGAAGGAGGCGTGACCCAAAAGAAGACCGCGGGGTGGTGCTGGAGGTGGGCGGGGCCTAGAGATGGGGCCCAAACAAATCCGTGGGGGGCGGTGCCCAAGGGATGCGGAAGAGACCAAATAGGAAGAAGTCCCAGGTCTTTTCACTTTAAAGGACCCAGGTGCGTGGTCTGAGCGAGGTTTGCTCTTCGCTGCCTCGGCTGGGAATGGGCTGACGGGCAGCCGTGAGGGTGATTCTGGGGAAGAAGAGCCACTCCCCCAACCCCCCCCAAAAAGGTTAGATTCAAGTTCCTTTACCTTTCTGGGGTGCAGGAAACGTTTTATAAATTGATTTGGGTGTTGGTCCCCTCTCCTGAATAGCTCTGTCAGAAACCATCACCTAAATCAGTGTTCCATCCTCCCTGGCACAGCCGGAGAGGTCTTCCGAAAGCACACGAGGACCACTGCCCTTAAGTCTTCAGCTATAGATTTCCCTAAAGACTGGGAACTGTCCAAAACAAATTCTCCATGCATAGGCCAACGTGTGATTTCGTGATTGTATTTTTCACACCGCTTGCCCCAGTACCTGTCTAAGAGACTGGATTCCCGAGAGCGGAACAGAATTTGAAGTGACCAGACCAGCAGTTATAGCTCCACTTGTGTTGTTTATGACCTCTGTGTCTCACTTCAAAACGAAGAGAAACCAAATTACAGAAATGGTGACACTGACCAAAGCAAGGAACATTCTTCCCCCACCTCTTCTAACTTTCTGGTTCCTCCTTATGCTTCAGGTCTCTGCCTAAATATCACCTCCTCTAAGAGGCTTTCCCTGAACAACCCATCTAAAGATCTTCTCTAGTTTGGCCTCTCGTTCATTTCCTTTGTGGTATTTCTTAGTCTTGTCACTTACTAGTTTATGCGTCTTGCTTGGCTACCCTCAAATTGTGTACCGCTCTCCTTGCCATGAAGTCTGGCTTGATGTCCCAGGCTCCCTAGCAGGTAGGGTTACCCATACAACCTAGGTGAAAGAGTTCTGGCCAATGCTATGCAAATAGTTCCTTAGTTACTTACCAGAAAAAGTTTTTTTAAAGAGACAGACTCAACTGGCATTCTTCAGCCTTTTGTCCTTCCCCCGTGTTCTGTCTGGAACAGAGATGTGATGCATGGAGGCACAGCAGCCATCTTGAAATCTTGAGAACAAAGACTGACTTGATAAGAATGGTAAAGCATAAAAAAAGAAAGAGCCTGGACTCCTCTGGATTTCTTATGTGGGATAAATAATGCCTCATATATCTTGTTACTTTTGAATTTTGATTCTTGCTGTCGAGCACATTTCTGACTTATACAGCATTATATCTGGTTCATGGTAGTACTCAATAAATATTAGCTAATGTTAGTTTACCTGTTACTTGTCATAATCATAATCACCTCAAAATGCTGTTGAGATTATTACCCTCAGTTTAAAAGTGGGGAGAGTCATACTTCTTCCCAGAATAGGTTGTAAAGTTTCAATGAGATGGTAGCCGTAATAACAGCAAACATTATTGGCACTTGTGGTGTTCCTGGCACCGTTCTAAGTGTTTCATGTATGTTAATTTACTTACTCCTTACAGCAACCCTGGAAGAAAACACTATTATGCCCATTTAACAGGTGAGGAAACTGAGAGTTACAGAAGTTAAGTGACTTGCCCAAGGTCATACAGCTAGCAAGCAACAGATCCAGGATTCAAACTCAGCAGTCTTAGGATAGTGCCTGGCATCTAGGGATGTGTGTGTATATCTTCTTTTTAATTAGGAAAAAAAGTGCAGCTCATAATTGTTAACTGCCTATCTAAAGCCTCACAACCAGGAATTGTTAGTGAATCTGAACCCAGAATTGGGACCCAGGTCTCGCCGACTTCAGACCCACATCATTAAGGGAATCCCTGTGGGTGAAGAAATGTTTGGCCTGCAATGTTGAAGAATCACATGTGTTTGTACCATGAGGAGGCTATGCAGAGAGAAAAACCCAGAGCCATCTTCAAGGCTTCTCTGCCATCCAGATGAAGAATCTGAGGCTCAGAGAGGGAACACAACTCAACCAAGGTCGCCCAACTAGAAAGGGGCAGTCCCGGACCTGGGATCCAGCTCTACTCCGTGGCTGTGGAGACATAAGAGGTCAGAGGAGCGCTGTTCATCCCTGATCATAATGAGCCTTGGAGACAGCCACGAGTCAAGTGGCAGTGAAGGACAACCCAGCCATTATTTATACTAATTAAGAGGGCATTAAATTGAAGGGACACATGCAGCCCTTCAGTTACCAGCCAGTGTTCTGACAGCCTTACCATTCTCTACGAGTCTAGCCAGGCTTGCATGGAGCAGAGAGAGCAGCCCCGCACACCCTGGCTCTCTACGAAAGCACTTCATTGTCTGAGAAAATAATAGCACTCCAGCCTAGCTTTAGGTGAAGCTGCAATAAACTAATCGAAATTAAATGGTTTGTAGCTCAGAAGAGAAGGGACCACTGGAAGGAAAATACAGAGCATACATTCATTCAACAAATATTTATTCAGCATCTTTTTCTGTGCCCAGCACAGTGCTGTCAGCTACAAATATAGCAATGATCAAAGCAGGTAAAACTGTCCTCAAGGAGAGTAGATTTGTGATAGAATCAAAATCTACCCTCTACAACTCATTGGCACACAAAAAAGTATAGGTCCTTTATTTTCTATGTGACTTAATTTTCCTTTTTGTACTTATCCATTATTGAGAGAGAAAAATATAAACCTAATTATTAACAGTAACTTAGTCTCTTCCAGTTTATAACAGTCTCACTTAGGTAAGTATAGGCATACCTCATTTTATTGCACTTCACAGATACTGTTTTCATCAACACTGAGGCAAGATCTTTTAGCAGCAAAAAGATTACAACTCACTGAAGGCTCAGTTGATGACGGTTAGCACTTTTTAGCAATAAAGTATTTTTAAATTAAGATATGTGATACTTAGTCTCTTCCAGTTTATAACAGTCTCACTTAGGTAAGTATAGGCATACCTCATTTTATTGCACTTCACAGATACTGTTTTCATCAACATTGAGGCAAGATCTTTTAGCAGCAAAAAGATTACAACTCACTGAAGGCTCAGTTGATGACGGTTAGCACTTTTTAGCAATAAAGTATTTTTAAATTAAGATGTGATTTTTTTTTACACATGCTATTGCACAGTTAGTAAACTACAGTATAGTGTAAAAATAACTTTTATATGCACTGGAAACCAAAAAATCCGTGTGACTTACTTTATTGCAATATTTGCTATATTGCGGTGGTCTGGAACCAAATCAGTATCTCAGAAGTATGCCTGCACTATCTTCTAAGTAATAGGTTCATCTTTCTGTGCCCCAACCCTCCCTTTACTCGAAATGGTGTTTGGGTGTCAGCCAGTCCATACACGAATCCTTGCGCTGTCCTCTGTGACTGTTACCTACAAGGCTGGGGCAGCATGTGTACCCATATGTGGATCATGCTCCCTACCCCACTGAGTTGATAGCAGGGTGGGGAAACCTCAAGATATGATTTAGAAGAAGGAAAGCCCATCTGTATCCAACTATCAGAGCCCTACCCATACTTCTTATGAAAATTAATAAACAAGAACCTCATTTAAAATGGAATCTGGAGGCTAGAAGAAAGAATTCTAATGCATTTGTCACTCAACACACACTACTGACCACAACAGAAAGGGACTGTACCAGCCATCTCCAACAAGAAGTGATAAATAGTACTTTACATTCCTCTTAGCCCAGTAACAACTCAGCCAATGGGAGACTACTATGACTAAGCCAATGAGAAGCCACTATACCCTGAACTTTGAATTTCCGCCAATGGACTCTTCATTTACAACAGCCCCTCCCAAGTCTATAAAAGAGGTTTTCTTCTTTGTTTCTCTGGACTGCCTTATAGTTCGCCATCAGTTTGCATGTCCTGAATTGCAATTCTTTGTTGTTCTGCAATAAACCCATTTTACTAGAGATATATCTGGCTGTCTGTTTAAGATCAATACTCCTCAGCACTCAACCCATGCTCAACCGAAGGCTGATTACTGCAACTATGACTCAAAAGACCTTGCCACAGGAGCACACTTGGCTTATACACTGGACAAGGCAGAAGTACTGTCAATGTAATGCCCACAGAAATAGCCTTCAACGAGTGACCAATGGGGAGTTGATGGTGACTCCAGTGTCCTCACCCATCATATGGGATAACTCTGGGAGTGTTCTTAATTGCCTCGGGCTCAGTTGATGATGGTTAGCTGTTGGAACTCCCAGGGTTCCTCAGTGAGATTAGG